GTATGATAACGTAAAAGGCACAAGTGCTTCAAAAGTGGCAGTGAAATTTGACTGCAGCAAGCGCTTCGGATGCAAAGGAATCTTGTTACGAAACGTTAACATACAAACTCTAGGCGAAGGAACAGCCATAGCTTCCTGTGAGAATGTTAGACTAAGCCATAGTGGGAGTGTTTCTCCAAAGTGCTCTTCAACAATTTAAAAAGTTTATTTATTATTTACACATTCATTATACTTTGATTTCTCAGTCACAATATAAATGAAACCAAATTGTAGCTTTTACTGCAAATAGCAAAGAAAAATAAATCTATGCTATGCAGAATTCTCTGTGTTTAACTAAAATTTGCTATGAAGAAAAATAAAGCCAAGCATGGCAATAATGTTGAAGTAGATCGACATTCTATTAAGAAGAAGCTTGATGCGGAAATATTAATAACGACAGTCTCTCTTTTGGCAAGTTGGTCATTGATGATATCTATGCACCAACTTGAGGGGGAGTGTTAGCAATAGTCAATTAATGAGGATTAGTTTGGCACCTACAATGGTTGGTAGCCTACAATGTTTAGTCAATTAATGTGTTAATTATGTAGTAAATTAATGTGTTAATTATGTAGTCAATTAATGTTTGGCACCTACAATATTTGGGGGGCTTGACTAGTTTGGTTGCCTAATTAGTTTGGTTGCCTAACTTGGTTGGTTGCCTAACTTGGGGGGCTTGACTAATGTCTTAGGAACTTGGTTCCACAAATCAAATGCAGATGAAATAATGGACGCACATATACAAGAGCATGTGGAGGTTGCATGAGTCCGGCAATTATGTTTCGACAAATTAACAGAATACCTCAATACAAATTTATGGAAGTTAGGTCTCTATGACTTCATGAAAGTGATGTCAAACGACCAAAATACCGTTTGTATAACTTACTTGCTTTAGCTAAGATTTTCAACCCACAACCAACCAATGTGCCTTATTGGAACTTTTTTGAAACGTAATACATAAACTTAGGTTTCTCTCTCCTAATTAACGTCTTTCCTTTTATATTAATTTGGAGTCACAATCTACTATTGCGTAAGGCTAGGCTTACCACATTTTTCATACCATATTTGTACCATATCTCTAATAGAGGTGGAGCCCACTAATACAATGGAGCCCGCCTCTATTAAAGAGGAGGTACAAAACGTTGTATGAAAAACATGGTAAACTTAGCATTTTCCTCTACTATTTCATGACGCCGGAGTGATGATATCATTCATATCTCTGTGCATGGGGAAACATATTACTCATGTATAAACGAATGGATGGTAAAAAGTTATATATCATTTTTTCAGAGTCACGACTTTAAGATAAATTTTTTATTGATAAAAGAAAAAACTTTGCGCTAGGGATAGCAACCTGAAGTCAATGACAATCATCATCTACTAGGACGTCCCAAAGAATAATATATGAGTATGACACCTCAAAACAAACAAAAGAGGCCTATGTGCAGATAGACTCGCCTAATCCTCTTGGTTTATGTCTTCTTTTTCTAACCCCTTTTAATAATATATTAGCGCTAAATTTTCAACCCAAAAATAAAAACAAATGACACTGCGAAATCATCTATTAAATTGTTTGTTGACTAAATTGTAGAAAGAATTTTTTGTGTGTATCTCTAATATTATAGAAAAGTTGTTTGTAAAACGTGAATTCTAATATTAATTATTATATAGGTTTGAGTGGATTGTGAAGGGTATTATGACTGAAGATCAAGAAGGCTGAACGGGTTCCAAATTGGATGACTGACTGAATGAAGAATATTTCATTTGGTCCAAAAGTGGGATTAATATGTAACATTTAAAAAGGACGAAAAAAACCCTATAACATTAAATTTACAATTAAAAGAAAACAAACAAACAAACAAAGGAAAACCCCCAGCAGCATCCCCAATTCCCTCAGAAACTAGTTGGTGGAAGTATTTGGGGTCTGCATAAGGAAGAAAGAGAAGATTGAACAAAAAAAGGATTTTAGTATTCTGAAAAATAATCAATCAAACTTCAAGGTCCAGACAAGGATCTCAAGTATTCTAAAAAATATTATGTTTTATTTGAGGTCAAATATATATTTGTGTTTTTTATACGGTAGTATGGTCATATTTTGTACGCGTGTTATAATACGGGTGGATAACATAGTTTATTTTCTCCCCTTTTAGAGAATAATATCAATAAATATCCACTTATATTATAACACGTGTACAAACATCAATTTAAAAGGTATTAGTTGGTTATAGTTTTATAGTAGTGGCTCACAAACAATATTAATATTTGCAAGAGTGAGAAGGCATGGTGGGATCCACCACTTAATTATAGGCCACGAACACTGTTTGCCGTGGCCAAAAGTAAATGGCAACAGCCTCAACTACCTTCATTTTTTGTTATGCGGCCTTTCCACAAATCAATGCAGATGAAATAATGGACGCACATATACAAGAGCATGTGGAGGTTGCATGAGTCCGGCAATTATGTTTCGACAAATTTATGGAAGTTAGGTCTCTATGACTTCATGAAAGTGATGTCAAACGACCAAAATACCGTTTGTATAACTTATTTGCTTTAGCTAAGATTTTCAACCCACAACCAACCAATGTGCCTTACTGGAACTTTTTTGAAACGTAATACATAAACTTAGGTTTCTCTCTCCTAATTAACGTCTTTCCTTTTATATTAATTTGGGGTCACATTCTACTATTGCATAATGCTAGGCTTATCACATTTTTCATACCACATTTGTACCACATCTCTAATAGAGGTGGAGCCCATCAATACAATGGTGCCCACCTCTATTAGAGAGGTGGTACAAATGTTGTATAAAAAACATGGTAAGCCTAGCATTTTCCTCTACTATTTCATGACGCAGGAGTGATGATATCATGCATATCTCTGTGCATGGGGAAACATATTACTCATGTATAAACGCATGGATGGTAAAAAGTTATATATCATTTTTTTCAGAGTCACGACTTTAAGATAAATTTTTTATTGATAAAAGAAAAAACTTGGCGCTAGGGATAGCAACCTGAAGTCAATGACAATCATCATCTACTAGGACGTCCCAAAGAATAATATATGAGTATGACACCTAAAGCTGTGCCTCTCAAAGAACTCAAGACACGCTTTGTACTAGCTCAAGGACAGCATGACACTTTAGGCAAGAAGACTATAGCAATGAACAGACAAACTTTCTCTTGATTCAGAATGGTTCTGTCCATTCTTGTGAAACTTCATCAGAACCATTCTGAATCAAGAGAAAGTTTGTCTGTTCCAGCGTGGTAGTGAGTTTAGAAAATGTTCCACGTGAGTAATTTGTATTCACATGTACGCATTGTTTGTTGACTAAATTATAGAAAGAATTTTTTTTTGTGTATATCTAATATTATAGAAAAGTTATTTGTAAAACGTGAATTCTAATATTAATTATTATATAGGTTTGAGTGGATTGTGAAGGGTATTATGACTGAAGATCAAGAAGGCTGAACGGGTTCCAAATTGGATGACTGACTGAATGAAGAATACGTCATTTGGTCCAAAAGTGGGATTATGAGTCTATCTAGATTAATATGTAGGACTAAGAGGAAATTTAACAAAAGAAGAGGAAGAGAGAAACAACTAAAAGGAAGGAAGAAAGAGAAGATTGAACAAAAAAAGGATTTTAGTATTCTAAAAAATAATCAATCAAACTTCAAGGTCCAGACAAGGATCAAAAGTATTCTAAAAAATATTAAGTTTTATTTGAGCTCAAATATATATTTGTGTTTTCTATACGGTAGTATAGTCACGTGGTATATTTTGTACGTGTGTTAATATGGATAGATAACATAGTTTTTTTCTCCCTTTTTATTAGAAAATAATATCAATAAATATCCACTTATATTATAACACATGTACAAACACTACTTAAAAAGGTATTAGTTGGTCACAGTTTTAAAGTCGTGGCTCACAAACAATATTAATATTTGCAAGAGTCAGAAGGAATGGTGGGATCCACCACTTATAGGCCACGAACACTATTTGCCGTGGCCAAAAGTAAATGGCAACAGCCTCAACTACCACCATTTTCTGTTATGCGGCCAACATGGATATAGGCACAGGTAATCTATAACTTATACGTGACTTTTTAATAGTGAAAATATATTACATGACCGTACTATTATAATATTTTATAATCCCTCGCACAACACATGATATGGGTAAATGAGTTGACAACATTTTCGGAGACTTGCCAACCAACGGGCTCATATTTCGGCGCTAAAAGTGGGAAATTAGATTTCCAAGTCAGAATCATAATTACTTGAATGCATGTCAACGGGAATTTCAAAACAACCTTAAAAGTGGAAAAATACCTATTAGCGTTCAACAAATGCCAAATTATACCTAACAGGGAGCAAAATCAACAAAGTACGTCCCTCAATCTACTGAAGGCACCCGAAGAACTCAAGACACGCTTTGTACTAGCTCAAGGACAGCATGACACTTTAGGCAAGAAGACTATAGCAATGAACAGACAAACTTTCTCTTGATTCAGAATGGTTCTGTCCATTCTTGTGAAACTTCATCAGAACCATTCTGAATCAAGAGAAAGTTTGTCTGTTCCAGCGCGGTAGTGAGTTTAGAAAATGTTCCACGTGAGTAATTTGTATTCACATGTACGTTTGTGTGTTGGTAAACAAGCACAAACACCAGTAACCAACTAAACTCAATGCATCCAATTAATATATTACGTTCATATTTCCTTCAGTGGAGAGAAAACTAATAATGTGAGACCAGAGAGTCGGCTACCAGCCAGCCAAGTAATTCTTTCGTCTCAATTTCCTGCTTCTCAATCTCCATACTTCTCTGACTCAAGCACTCTTTGCTTCTAATTCACAATCTCTCTCTCTCTCTCTCTCTCTAGAAACTTTGACTGCTCTTCTATAAATATGTATTATACTTCATGATCACATCCCATATCCTCCAAGCGTCTGTCTTGAACGTTTTTGAATTTGGACATGCAATTGTTTCTGTATCCAAAACTTTTGAAAGCTCAGATGAATTCACAAAGCCATTTTCTCTCCATACTTCTGATAGTTTTCTTAGCCTCTTTTTCCTTCTCTTTTAGCAGTAACGTCCCAGAGGGCCCACTTTTACTTGATCATCATCACCATCAAACTAATTCTAGTGGTGATCATGATGAATATATAAAACCCTCCCCTACAATATCAAGGACAAGCAGGCTAGCTATTCTCAGCAGAGCAAGTGCTGCTTATCATTCAGCTTCAGCAAAGAATATTGTTGTTAATGTGGATAGTTTTGGAGCTAAAGGAGATGGCGGGGATGATACCCAGGTAACCCATCTAAATTATTTATTTAATTTTCTATTTTTTAATTATTTTTTTGGGCAAAAGTTAATATTTTCTAGTTAATTATTTTATATATATAGATTTTAAATGTCCTTATTCATTCTTTTTTTACTTGTTTAAGGGCTCAGTTATTTTGGATGGTCTTGTTTTAAATTATATGAGAGATTAATGAGTAGCATGGGGTTTGTTGAAAGGCTGGCGTTTTTATCTTTTATTATTGTGTTTTATTAGGCGTTTATAAAAGCATGGAAGAAGGCTTGTTCTTCGCAAAGGGGCGTTGCTCTCGTGTCATCATCACCATCAAACTAATTCTAGTGATCATGATGAATACATAAAACCCTCCCCTACAATATCAAGGACAAGCAGGCTAGCTATTCTCAGCAGAGCAAGTGCTGCTTATCATTCAGCTTCAGCAAAGAATATTGTTGTTAATGTGGATAGTTTTGGAGCTAAAGGAGATGGCGGGGATGATACCCAGGTAACCCATCTAAATTATTTATTTAATTTTCTATTTTTTTATTTTTTATTTTTTGCAAAAGTTAATATTTTCTAGTTAATTATTTTATATATATAGATTTTAAATGTCCTTATTCATTCTTTTTTTACTTGTTTAAGGGCTCAGTTATTTTGGATGGTCTTGTTTTAAATTATATGAGAGATTAATGAGTAGCATGGGGTTTGTTGAAAGGCTGGCGTTTTTATCTTTTATTATTGTGTTTTATTAGGCGTTTATAAAAGCATGGAAGAAGGCTTGTTCTTCGCAAAGGGGCGTTGATCTCGTGGTTCCTAAGAACAGGATTTATCACCTGAAACCAATCAATCTCTCTGGTCCTTGCAAATCTCCTATCACCCTCAAGGTGAGTTCATAAATTAATTGAACTACATACATGCCATGCCTACATTATTAGTTATATATACATTACATACTGTACAATACAGCACTCATAAAATGCATGATGCATGCTTGTATAAATTTGGACTATGCATCCACAAGTAAACTTTTTTACCCCCTAAGTTGCTTCTTGTGGGACCCACACCGTTCGTTTCAAAGATGAAATTAAAAAAATTAGAAAAAAGAATTTTTGTTCGAGTGGCGAGGGGATCTTTGTCTAAAGTACTTGTTGATTATTTTGACGTTGTTCGGGTAGCTTAATTGCATATTGTGAATTTTTTAAAATTTATTTAAATACAAGCGAAAGTCTAATTTACAAAGAGAATGAGGATTTCTCATACACACACCCTACCAAAGTGTCATGGGAGTTCGACCTTAGATCACTAGTCTGCAAGTTAATGCCATTTTTCAATGAACTAGACCCCGTTGGCACATGGTGGTAATTTATGTGTGAGAAACCCCCCATCCCTATCGTTTGTATTTTTTTTAAAAATTATATATTATTTATACGTTTTACAATTTACTTTTTTACAAGGTAAAATAATATGCTCTTAATTGGATTCATTTTCCAGATCTATGGAACAATCAAAGCCTCTCCCAACCGATCAGATTACAGAAATGATACACGGCATTGGATTGTGTTTGAAAATGTGGCAAACTTTAGAGTCGAAGGTGGTGGCACCATCGATGGAAATGGAAGGATATGGTGGCAAAACTCTTGCAAGGTTAACGAAGCCCTTGTAAGTAATTCGATAAGCTAATCAAGTTCTTGTGCATACTTTAATTTTGATGTTGATTTTTTCATAACCCAATTCTAGATGCAAAGACTAACTACAGTTTATTTTCTTTTGTGGAACAACTTTTCATTATGTCACAGCCTTGCACGATCGCACCAGATGTAAGTTTGTGGATCCTATTTATTTCCAAGAACTAATCATCATACCTACAGCACTGAGACTAGACTATTATTTTTAATTAAAAAAGCACTCTATTATTTAATTACTGAAATTTGTTTACTTGTCTTTGTTCTTTTTCTTGTTCAAAGGCCATGACTTTCTCCGGGTGCATCAACTTGCAAGTAGACAATGTAAGGTTCCAAAATCCCCAAAAAATGCATCTTCGGTTTCACAAATGTGTGAATGTGAAAGCTTCGAATCTCATAGTAACTGCACCAGAGGATAGCCCCAACACAGATGGAATCCATGTCACAGGAACACAAAATATTCAGATAACGAACTGTCTCATTAGGACAGGTACGGGTCATAAACTCATGCCGTCAAACGCTCAATATGTTTTCAAATAATAATCTAATAGCATAACATGTTCGGCTCTCAATTAGCATAAAGAGCCAATATTTGAGAACAACATAAATACTTGCTTGGAAAAATTATCTGAGCTAGTAAAATGAACGAAAGAAATATCAATTCACCAGAACTAATGTTTTCTTTTTTCCTTTTTAATCTATTGAAGGGGATGATTGTATTTCAATAGTAAGTGGGTCACGAAATGTTCGAGCCACGGATATAATCTGCGGACCAGGTCATGGAATCAGGTCTTCCCTTAGACACATTCTACACGACAACTTCTTTTAATTTTTTTTAAAATAAATTTATTGTACTAATTTTGATACATATTCTGGTGATTTAATTGCAGCATTGGAAGCTTAGGTGCTGGGAATTCAGAAGCAGAGGTTTCAGATGTGATAGTTTCTAGAGCGAAAATGATGGGTACCACCAATGGATTAAGAATAAAGACTTGGCAGGTAAGACTTCATTTTCAAATATACATGTGTAATTTTGGGCATTCTCCAACTTTGTCACACTTCAATGACACAAACATGTCTATTTTGCTTCATGCATATAACATGTCTATTTTGCTTCATGCATATAGGGCGGTTCTGGATATGCCAACAACATCAGATTCAAAAATATTATGATGCACAACGTGAGCAATCCAATAATCATAAACCAAAATTACTGTGATCGGGACGAGCCATGCCAAGAACAGGTACGGTTTAGTTTAGACTCGCTTATGTCAAAACGCATTGTTTACAGTCTGACAACATAACATACTAAATGTAAAAGTTGAGCATTTATAAATATATAATATTGATCATTTGAGGTGTCGCATCCAGGTTTCAGCTGTGAAAATAAGCAATGTGGTGTATGAGAACGTAAAAGGCACAAGTGCTTCAAAAGTGGCAGTGAAATTCGACTGCAGCAAGCGCTTCGGATGCAAAGGAATCTTGTTACGAAACGTTAACATAAAACCTCTAGGCGAAGGAACGGCCAATGCTTCCTGTGAGAATGTTAGACTAAGCCATAGGGGGAGGGTTTCTCCAAAGTGCTCTTCAACAATTTAAGAAGTTTCTTTATTATTTACACATTCATTATACTTTGATTTTTCAGTCACAATATAAATGAAACCAAATTGTAGCCTTTACTGTAAATAGCAAAGAAGAATAAATCTATGCTATGCAGAATTCTCTGTGTTTAACTTAAATTTGTTATGAAGAAAAATAAAGCCAAGCATGGCAATAATTTTTGATACAAACGATATTGGGGGCGGGGGATATTGAACCTTGGACTTCGGTGGAGGGGTAAATGCTCTTACGCATGGCAATAATTTCAAAAGTTAATGTGAAGCTTGAAAGGTTTCCAAAACCTCCGTTCATATGAAGTAAACCTTAAGCTCCTAGTTTTCCACCTATCCTTGCTTCATAAGCTCCTAGGGCTCGTTTGGTACATGTTCGGTTCATTTTTACACATGATTTTTCATGTTATTCACCCACTATTTTGAGTTAGTTCTTGACATTTTATAGCTTTTTACTTCCTTTTTGTGTTTTCTTAGATTTTGCCTTGGTTGGGATGAAAATGAGCTAAAAGTGCATTATTAGTTATAAATTCTGTTTTTGTTCATTTTCGTAGGTCAACTTCTTGGCCTGGGATCAACATGCTCTGGTGCTCGGATGAGGTCATGATCTTCATGAGACTTGTTCCAATGGATGTTAACTACAACATATCCAAATTTGAGCTCCATTGGACAAGTATTGCCTATCCAACCAATCCATCATGTTACCACAGTTCTGGAAATCCGGATTTGGCCAGCTTTTACCTCCCTTGTGTCATCTTAACTTCTTGTTACCATAACTCTTGGTAACAAGGAATTACATTTGTAAAATAGATATTTTCTGAGCTTTTGGCATCTTTATGAAGTCAAAGCTCCATCATGGCAAGGGGACAATGGGCTAAGGCGTTATAAAAGGTGGTAGTTTTATATTAAAAGGTAAAAGCTGGAAAGGAGGAGAGAGGGAAGGAAAGGAATTGCAATCTGAAGTTGGGAGAGCCTTTTGAACGTGGGAAAGAAAGTCATTGAGGAGATTACACAGAGGAGAGCAGATTTTGGAGAGCTTGGAGCTTGGAGAAGGCCAAGGTGCAGCCAAGCTAAGTGGAGAAGAACATCATCACTTATTAACATGTAACCAAAAAGATAGGGAAATACCATACAACAGAAACTGTCACAACCATCAGTGTGGGCTGTGAAATATAGATGGCCTCAGAAACAAATATGAAAACTAGCAATACTTACATTTTTTGTATATGGACCTCAAATTTGAAATTCAAAAGGTTATTTCATATAGTTATCAAGAATTTGTGGTTTTTTGACAGGGTCCTAGTGACAGTAAACAATAGGTGCGATGTCATGACCTATGAAGATGACATCATGTGGAAGAATGTTGACAATGTTTAGCAGATCAATTTTCAGATGTGCCCGGCCACATTTGAACTTTAAATCTACCCCACCCTATCTCAAGCTAAAACCAAATTGCAGTTTTTAATGATAATAAATTACCTTAATTAAAGCAGGACGGACAGCAGATGAGCATAGACCAGCTTCTTTCTGAAACCTTTCTTCAAAACCTG